TGAAGTCGTCAACGGGATGTACCTCGATTTCTGCACTGATATTCACCTAGGCATTCGAACCCAGTTCAATTCAATTTAAACGTTTAATATGTTAAACGCTTAGCTAATGAGTGCAGTACATGTACAGTGTATGTGAATTTTAACTCAATTTGTAATAGTTTGTGGGGTTTGAAGCGAATGGTACTGGATTCAAAACTCAATGTGAATATAAACTCAGAAACCCAAGTATATCAAGCTGACTAGTTTCAAATGAAGTGAAATGACGTGCTTATTGGATTCTATTGCTAACTGAAATTTACCTCTTCCATATGTTTAATTGTACATATTATATAAGACCACATGGAAACTATTTAAAGACAAAATCTAAGCCATAACTATCTTCTATTGATAATAAATCAATACAATACATTCCAAACCGATTTGTGCAACTCTGCTACTGATTTCCAATAATTATGTTACCATAGAACATACACGTACACAATGATGCCTACATTTAAATTTATATATTCTATCTTGATATAATCTATAATAACATTCATAAATAGTATTATGTAATACCGTTTTCTTAGCTTGTGTGTATTTACTTACCCATAAAAGCCAATATCGATTATAGTCCTGAAACTTGATCGATTCTCTCTAGTTCTCTCGCTCTCCTCTCTTTCGATGGATCCATACCAGTAGTCAGTAAAATGACGAAAATGTATTGTGAAACTATCCATTTTGTATTTTTTTTATGTTAACCAGTTTTGTGCATTATATTTAGCCATATATACATATATAGATATCACAAAGCAGTTGAACACCTTATCATAGAAAAAGTGTTGCCGTTTTTTTTTGCATTTTCCGTACTGTTTCTGTTATTAATTCCATTTAACTGAATATTATGATCTTAGACTATTTATGGTTTCAAGGGATTAAAATGCAACTTATGTAAATAGTCGTTACTGTGGTGAACGGGAACATAAGTACGGGACAATCCAATGTATTGCAACAGTAAATACTTCATTTGCAAACTATCCATCAATCGTCTCAGACTTCATTGTTCCTTTGTTTCCACACCAGCTATTCTCTGTTCTCATTCTCTTCTCTTTAATCTTCTCAGCCTTCTGTTCTCAAGTATTCCACTTTCGATTGATGTTACATACTACTTAAATCTGTTTACATCAGTAGCACACACCATATTACTACTAATGAAGTACAGTTATTTCGAAAGTGAGTTAGTTATCAATTCGAAAATAACAATTACTAGACTACAACATAGTGATATGAAAGTTGGACGCTCATTGTAAAACTTGGAGGTCCAGGATTGAATATCTTGTAAGATCTTGGATGTGTAAAACCAAAATTTGCTATTCTAGGGCAAAGGAATTATCTGGTGCTCTCTGGCCTTCAATAGCACGTTCAAATGAAATACGTTTATAATGAGGGTCCTCAGCACGACTTCATACCCGTTGAAAAAGTTAGTAGTTATCTGGATTCAGTAACCCGGTGGATAAAGTGGTATTAAAAGCCATAGTTATTGAGTTCGAGCCCCCATTTTAGTGGACAAAAAATGGAATCCATGTACAACAAGACAACGAGTCTCAAATGGGTCGAAACGTGAACCTTGAATTTTGCTACTAGACATATGTCAGTTATACTGAGATTCGACAGAATTTTGTTTATTATAACTGGATTGTTTTTTGACTTATCTGAAGAACAGTCGAAACTTAACCAGAATTTTTTCCAACCAAGTTGTTCATGTGTATTCGTGTGTAAATACGTGACGTGTGTAAAAAAGTTCCAAGATCATCTAAGCAACCAAAAATTGAAGCCAGCACAATTAAAACTATAAAATCCAATACAATACCTGATTTTACCTAGCAGTGGAATTTAAGACACGAGTTCCATTCTATCTAGAATACATCATCTGGATGTACCTGAAATGTCGGTATAGATGTTCATCATACTAAGGCTCGACTTCATTATCATTCACTTCAAAGATAAACTTTTTATCTACCAATAACTGAGTTCAAGTAATCGCTAACTTGTTTAGTATACATTAAATCACTTGTAAGAGTTTATATGATTTGGTTATTGATAGTTTGAATTAAAAGTGATCAGTATCTTTTAACGGTTGAATTCATGAGTCGATCTAAGCTAGACCACCATTGAAAACCTGTAAGCATTGGATGGCCATTTCGCCAAGTATGAGACTCCTAGACAGTGTACATCCACCACCACACATCAAAGGGACTCGAACCCAGGACCTTCAGTCTCACTTAACCTTTAAACCAGTGATCTGGCATCCATTGATGTTATTGTCTAACTTCAATCGATCCATGATCTTTCTCAACTCCTCGTTCATTATCTGAAGTGTATAAAATAAGTAGTGTACACGATGATTTTACATAACAGTAAGACAACAAATATAATAAGTACTATTAAATTTATGTTTTGGTAAAATTTAAACCACCTTTAAAGTAATCTTATACCGTTGGATGCCGGATCAGTGGTCTAGTGGTTAAGCGCTCGCGCACGAGACTGATAGGTCCTGGGTTTGAATCTCGCGAGGCGGGATCGTGGACGCGCACTGTCACTGAGTGTTCTCACAATAGGACAAAACCGCCATCCAGTGCTTCTAAGTTTTCCATACTGGCCTAGCTTCAATTGACTCATGATCGCAACTATGTAAAAAAGTTACCAAAATCTACACAAAACTCCCTTCTGATAATCTATATTGTGTTTAACTTTTAATAATGATCATTGTATGAATTCATTTGCACATAATGTAATTTCCATAAAAACTGTTTTGAATCAATGCTAATAAAGTTTTTCTCGACGAGATTGTAATTTATGAGCGAATCACTCAGGCTTAGGATAACAGATCTTGGATTTTGGCACGAAATTCATTTATCCATTTGGTTAAAGAACATTTTGACACTTTAAGTGATGTCATTATGTGACGAAAAATCTAAATCTATTTCCTAACCATAACCATCAACTGTAGATCATCATTCTAATTCTTTACACTGGTTTATAACCTCTATTCAATTCTAGTTGTTAGGTGGATACTCTCAAGGTCAATTTAGCATCACTCAAAGGTCATCCATAAATTATAGTCTCATCTTTTTGTTTGAAAATGTTGACAATATAGTAAGTGAGAAAGACAGAGAGAAAGGAGTAGATAGAAAGAATGAAGTTACCATCAGTTACATTTTTTATATGGTATCATAATTCTCATCAGAAAACATGTTGACTACAGTAGCATTATTTGTAAATTGTTCAGCCTACGTTTACATTGTATCAAAGGGTTAAACAAAATCCCAAGATCATGTAAAAACTAGAAAGTACTAAACAATTCAATCGAAGCAATACACTTCATCGTACTCATGACTTCATATGTTTTGTAGCAAAGGAAATGCATTCACATCCAATATCTTGATATCTAATGACATCTTTCATACCTACTAATGATATTTATCCCGTTATCGACTTGGCGTTCACTGATTCATACTATTATTTTTCACTTGAGTGTAAGCAGAATCCAGCTCAAAGTTATTCATCAGCTTACTGGTATGGAGAGTCCATCAGAAGTAGCCTAATGAGAAGGTCAATCGACAGCGATCAGAAATGACCTAAAGAAAAAGTCCGTTTCATTGGCTAAGGAAAGGATTAGTATCCTAAGAACTAGAGCGGTCTATGTATATATATATATATATATATGAATGAGTAGACCGACACACTTTCTTGATCATGCTTGTGTTGTCTTTCTAGGTTTTCTCAGTACTGTTCAGTCATGAGATGTCTTGATCAGGGGAGTTCAACCTTGTCCATTGTAAAAAAAGGTACCCATTGAAGACGATGAAAGATGGTTGACCAGTATCATTGAAATTAGATATGTACAACATTAAATTACAAACCAGTGGTCTAAAAGTCAATTGTTCATGCACGAAACTAAAGATCTTGAAGTTGACCTCAGGTGGTAAGGCCGTGGTTTTAGACTGCCGTGGAGTCCTATACTAGGATGAGATAGCTACTTAGCGCTTCCAAGTCTTGTTTGTTTGTCTAACTTAGATTAGCACTTTATTTTAATAGTATATAATAATGATTTTTAAGTTCTTACTGTTAATATTCAGGAAAGCAGTTAATCAATCCCTTCTGCCATATGTGTATCCTGAGTAGCTTGTCTCCATAAAGCCGTTATCTGCAATCTTTTCAACAGTAGAATCTAAAAGGACTTTTTTGTCCTACTTTGGACTTATCAGCTTATTGTACGTATTTTCTAGTTTTGATGTGTATTCCAGTAAGAAACGAACTCTATGTTTTTATCGCTTCAAATGTTAGCAAGTTATCCACTGATCTACTGATTCTAAATGGTATGATGGTATTCGTAGGAATTCGTAGTTTCTTATTAACAATATTCAACATTTAGATGCAGATAAAATGAACTGAATAGTGTCAAATAGAACGAAACATGCGTCCAAAGTCCCATTCATAAACCGTCTTCTATAGTTCTTTAATTTAAAAATATTTTTCCATTTGACTATTAAGCATATTTTCATAGCTGAAAGTGTGAGTCAATTGAAGCTATACCACCATGGAAAACCTGGAAGCACTGGACGGCTGTTTTGTCCTATTATGGTCCTGTGTTCGAATCTCGCGAGTGCGGGATCGTTGATGTGCACTGCCACTGAGGAGTCCCACAATAAGACGAAACAGCCGTCCAGTGCTTCCAGGTTTTCCATGGTGGTATAGCTTCAATTGACTCACCCTTTTAAATATGAAAACACAAAAATCTCCACAAAACCCCTTCTGATAATATTATGCTTATCAAAAAGGTGCATATTAACAATATTTAAGATCTATAATCTATTCTATTTCAAACTGATCTAAACTGATCTTAATGTATTGAATTTCCATAGTGATTGTTTTGAAGATCATCTCTTCTCTAGACTTTAGTTCTATGAGATTATATATATGTATATGTATTGTTCATTCAAACTCTCTCTTTATTTTAGTCTCAATCAACAGAGGAATCCTATATTAAATGGTTAAATGATCATTTAACTAAAGCCACACCTCCATTAATTATATATGATTTAACTGAAGAAATTATCTGTAATGGTGTAGCTATTGGAGTACTATTAGAAATTATTGGTAAGTTATGATTTTCAATTAATGTGAAAAAAAAACGATTTCTTGCTTAGTAGAATGACTTATTTACTTAGGGTGACAACCTCTAAGTTGGACAGCTTAATCGTGTGTATTGTTGGTTTTCAGGAAAATCAAAGCTTTTATTTGACCTGAACAGACGAGCTTAATACTATTGTGCAACGATAGAAATACTAAGAACCCTGGTGTATCAGAGGAGTTCATACACATAGCATACAACTTTCTTTGAACCTAGTAAACATGACTTTTGGCATATTAATCAGATGGAAAACCACGTGAACATTATCAAAGTACCTGAGAAGCTAGGTACTTTCCTTCCAGCATAGGTACACGATAAAACAACCTACCTCACAGAAGAAAAAAACTTCATTAAAAGTTGTGATTGTTTGCTATTAATTAATAATTTGGTGGTATGTAATCACTTTGAAATATATCGCAGTCCTATATGAGCTCACTCTTGGCCTGTATGACTTAATGGTAACGTCTCTGACTGTAAAGTTGGGCGATATGGGATCGTGTCAGCCTGCGACAATCAATTTCCTCAGGATTACAGTTACATATTAATAATGAGTGTCGAATAGCGCGAAATGTAGATCAAGCAGGGTTTTCTGTCGATTATCTCCAACAATTACCTTTCATTCCAACACAGTATACGCGATGTCGAGTCACTGAAACTGGTAGCCAGATCGCAGATCGATCCATAGAATTTGATCAGCAATAGGAAGGGATCGACACTTATGACATTTGTCACTACTCAGTAATCATCTAATTGTAAATTGATTTTCTTTCTTCAATCAGATTGGTTTTTTATAATTGATGTTATTTCATCTCTTGATTGTCTTCTGTTTTGGGTATTGTAAATTGTAATTATTTAGACTAATGAATACTCGTAACCAGTTTTCTATCACATTGTCTGAAGCATAGATAACTTGATCCTATTGTTCTTAATTGACATGTGATCGAAAAGAATACTTTATCTTCAAATTAACTCAACAGTTTCGTTTATGTTTGAGTTGTTGTCAATTTATTAAAAGATAACTGAATTTGAGAAAAAATAACGCCAGACGGCCATACGAAATTGGTCTCTTCGTTTGTTTTAACAAAAAAGAAGAAAATAAATATTCACGTTTACTGGTTGGTTGGTCAAGGAATCCTGATTGCTGGCCTACGTTACATGAGGGGTAGCAAGGGTATGTAAACAGAGTACTTAGTAGTTGATGATAAAGCTGGCATTAGTTGGTACTTTTTAGCATGTTTGTGAATTCAGTCAGTTTATGTCACTGAGGATGATTGTTTGACTTCCGATACAGCGAAGTTCATCAGTTATCATTTCTCAGTAGGACTTTCAGAATTCATTTGGAGACAAGTCATTATTAAGCATATAATTATAGTACTGTTGTAAAGTCTTGTTTTAATTTAAAGATGGTATTTGGCATAGATTAAATAGTATTGAAATACTGTTAAAAAAGAGAGATCTGTGGATTGCTGTGAATAGTTTTTAAAAATTCAAATCGTTTATAAAGTTTTTGGTGTCCGCTCTGTTTTAGTTCAAGTCTTATCAGAAATATGAAACCATGACACTATTCCGTATAATTAAATTGTCAAAACGTAGTAGCCAAGGCTTTAAGTTTACGAATATAGTCTTTATGTTAATTAACAAGTGGGACGTTGTTTACTATGTCGTATTGGCTGGTAATATGTCGAGCTCACATAGATTATTCTAACTTTATTTTTCTTAAGCTACACTTTGACCTTATCACTTGTTTACTTATTAACTTCGACTGTTTTTTTATATGATCCGTATGTGCGTGTATTACTTACCTTATTCATCATATGTCTGTAACTTATTTTTGCTTGACTATAAATAAATCAAGTTGGCCCACACACCTTCTCCACAATGCATCATTTCGTTTCACTTCGTTCTCTCCTCTTCGCTTTGTTTCTTTGATCGTTTGTTTGGATCAATGATTGTATGAAATATACGTATCCAAAAATCCATTCTCATATTTGACTAATTTGACTATTTGATAATGATCATATGCTCACTAATGACTGGCTCCATGAGGTATTTCATGGAGTTCTAGTGAGAAGCAGTAACCAGTGGAGTTCAACGAGGTCTGTTGTGAGATATCAACTCACTGAAGACATTGGTGAATGGTTGCTCAATTTTGTGGATTGGTTGATGTTAGACATCAACACCGTTGGATGATAGTCGGCTCAATGGTCTGTCGGTTAAGTACTCGCATGCGAGATTGATAGGTCCTGGCTTCGAATCTCGCAAGGTGGGATCATGGATGAGCACTACTGATGAGTCCCACTCAGTAACATAATTTAAGTCGATAATTATGTACGCTGGTAGTTGAGATGTATATTTTAATAACAAAATAACATTCTGTCATACCATCGAATTGGAGTTAGATACAGGGGGGGGCAAATACTGAAATCTTACAAGTTGAATAGTAATTAATGTTAAATATTTTCGCAAATTATATTCACTTATCAATCATTAAATTAGTTGAAAGAATTTCATCATTTCTTTGTGTATATTAAGTTGATTGATCCATAGATGAAACAGAATGTACCTTTTCTAATGTGGTAGATGTTGTAATATGTAGATCCGACAGTTTTCGGAAAAATACAAAAAAAACATACACAGGGTTACATAATGATTAATTGATTATTTGTCAGGAAATAAACAAACCTGTAGGTGAGATCATAAAAGCAATACAGATTGATCAAATGTAATATCCTATGGTTAATTTATACATAGATAGGTCGATTTGACATGTTATCTATTAAACTACCAAATTTAAATAGTCGGCCGTTATAAATATATACAACAGAATGTTTGTAAGCGATGATGGATAGCGGCTAGCAGTGTGTTTCGTTCTACATGAGAGTCATCAGCTGAATTTACCTACTAAGTGAACAAAGTGATGTCGTTTGAAGTGAACGGTGCTGGGTTCGAGTCCCAGAAGAGAAATCAACTCTGAGATGTAGATACATTCAGCTGACGAGTCTCATATAGGATGGAATGCGCGTCCTGGATTACACTGCTGATCTATCTCCATCTTCGCCTGAAATGCTTGTGAATTAAGGCAATATATATAAGATGCACGTGTGCCAACAAGAGACTGATCAGTTACAATCCTAAACATCAATAAGACGATTCAAATAATCAATATCAAGGAATGTTTACATCTTTAGAAAAACATTTATTCATATCTTGCATCACATTGCTGTTTTAGTCATTAGTCCATTCATATTTCATGAAACAATAAATGTGAGAATTGTGGAAAAAATTTGTAACTCAGGAGAATGATTTCGTGAAAACCATGTGTTTCTGTGCTGAGTGGTTTAGATAATATGCTTTCATCATCTTTCTAGACAATGTTCATCTTTATCTACATGTACACTAATTGGATATCAAGTACTTCAGCAAAACATCCGTACTAACAATATATGTAAACAGCTGTAAACACAGGTTTTGATAGGGAAACATCAAAATCTTGGATAGAGGAAGTATGAAGATTGGTAATCTATCATAAACCAAAGAATCAGATAAGAAATAGAGAGATGATCAAAATGAATACGCAAAGAATAACCGAATATGTCATGCATTTCATTATTTTTTTACTTACCTGAACAAAGCTAAAATAATAATTAAGTCTGAATAATAATGACACGATTTAGTGCTAATAGTAACTAATCCAAACCTATGTTCTAACGGAATAAGCTGTTAATCCATTGTGCTGTGATTCTTGTAGCTCATTTCTATCTAAAGTTTATGCTGATGATGTTGTTTAGGATAACAATGAAAGAATTACATTTATGTCATCCATCTCAGAAAACACAGTGTCGACGAAGATATTGAAAACTTTTTTACTGAACAGTTTCTAAAAACCGATGTCAAGTATGAATCACTTCCTACTTATTTTTTCACAATCATTGATAGTTAGGACGTTCTTGTATGGAAACATCATTAAAATTTAATAATTTGTGATTACTTTTATAGAGTTTAAATCATGAGTCAATTGAAACTAGACCACCATGGAATACCTGAAAACACTGAACGGCCGTTCCGTCCTATTGTGGGACTCCTCAGCAGTGCGCATCCGCGAGATTCAAACCCAGGAGCTGTCAGTCGTGCACGCGAGCGCTTAACCGATAGACCACTGAGTCAGCTGTTATCCAACGGTGTTAATGTCTAACTTCAACCAATCCACGGAATTCAGCAATCATTTACTAATGTCTTCAATGAGTTGATATCTCCTAACAGACCTGGTTGAACATCACTGGTTATTGCTGTCCAGTGCTTCCAGGTTTTCCATGGTGATCTAGCTTCAGTCGACTCATGATTTCAACTATATAAAATTACTAAAATCTCTACAAAAGCCCCTTCTGAGAATTTGTGATTACTGTCAAGAAGTAATTGAACCTAGCCTAGTACTATGTGATCTTCGAATTGTCAATATGAAATGGATGCCTAGTCAGAAAACTAAACCACTGAACTATGTGTTTTTAATAGTTTCAGTTCTTTTTAAACAGATAAATATCTAGTCTTTAAAAAACAACGTATACTTACACTTTAATATGCAGTAAACTGGTATTCTGAAAATTAACTTTTCTAATAATAACAATATTTTTATTAGGACAGTAGTACTACTGTTACTTATAATTTACTTGCGCCTGTTACTCACAATGGAGCATAGGCCGCAGACCAGCATTTTCAAACACACTCTGTCATGGCTGTGTATTCTTTTCTAGTTCCATCCAATTCTTGCTCATTCTTCTCATGTCTATCTTCATTTCACGACGTAATGTGTTCTTTAGTCTTACTCTTCTTCTTTGACCTTCAGGATTCCATGTGAGTGTTTGCTTTGTGACACAGTTAGCTGATTTCCTCAAGGTGTGCCCAATCCACTTCCATCGCTTCCTCCTGATTTCTTCCTCTGCTGGAATCTAGTTTGTTCTTTCCCACAGTAGGTTATTGCTGATAGTGTCTGTTCAACGGATCCGAAGTATCTTGCGTAGAGAACTGTTAATAAACACTTGTAGCTTCTGGACGATAGCTTTCGTAGTTCTCCACATCTCCGCCCCATACAGTAGAACTGTTTTGATATTTGTATTGAAAATTCTAACCTTGGTGTTGGTTGACAGTTTTTTCAGTTCCAAATGTTATTCAGTTGTAAATATGCTGCTCTTGCTTTGCCAATTCGTGCCTTCACATCTGCACCAGATCCACCGTGTACATCAATGATGCTCCCCAGATATGTAAAGGTTTATACATCCCCAAAATCTTATCCATCAAATGTGATTTGATTGGTGCATGTTGTATTGTATCAGAGAATCTTGCTTTTTCGATTGTGTATATTGAGACCTACTGTTGCTTAGGCTGTTGCTACACTGGTCGTCTTCTCCTGCATTTGCTGTTGCGTTTGTGATAGAAGAGCCAGATCATCCGCGAAGTCTAAATCGACAAGCTGCATCCTTCCTGTCCACTGTCCATTGAGTAGCTCATGAAAGGCCTAAAACTTGTTGTTGTGGGCTATCTTGAATTCATTGAGTTTGTCAGTATCCTGAAGAAATTATGTATCTGGTTTACATGTATGATTAGTTGACATGTAGTTAATACTGATAAATAATAATCATTTAAAAGAATGTATTATCTTTATTCGATCATAATGATATTGATGATGGTTACTATTCACTGTATTGTATACACACAAGTTCAATACTTTGCCATTGTATTTTTCTACCGATTTAAAATACATGATGCCATCCAAAATGATTGAGATGACATAATTAACATTATTTTCATAAGTATACTACACTACATGAGATAAATGTGTTTATTTACCAAATTATTATTAATCTAATTTACTCTCTTGTCATATATATATATATATATATATATATATTACTAGTTAGTAATAATAGTGTTGTCATCGTGAAGAATGATGTATTGCTTCTAAGTATTTAGATTTCTATTGTGCATATGAATATACGAACGTACGTAGGTAATTAGATACAATGAATATTCTGTTGCTATGAATTTTCTCTTTTTGTTAGAATTAAACCAGTTTCTTTTCTATTACAACAAGCTATCCGATCTGATGATTAATACACCGAAAAATTTACATTAAGTATAACGATTTAAAACAAACTGTTTTGTCATACACAATCCAAGAGAGCTAGCTAGAGAGAGAGAGAGAGAGACGAAGCTGGTGCATAATATCGTTAATATGTGGAGAGAAAATCTACTGTTCTACATTTTTTGTTTTCAGCTTTTTGTGATATTGTGTCATAGTGCTAGTAATTAAAACGATCCAACAGTTTTCGGTTCCTCTTAGATCGATAACTGATAATTATTTGTTACTGATCAGATTCTGTCAATCAAGTCCCAATTTCTCTACCAGCGTTGCGTTCACAATGTGCAATGTGGTTGGGATCGATGATATTGGTTGCCACTCAGAGACTCATCAATGTGAATATCTCACTCTTATAGCATATCAGTAGCAGCTTAAATAACTCAATCGTATTGCCTCACACTGTAAAATTGGACGAAGTCTGTTCGATTCACACTGTCAGCATAAGGTTCGTGAAGATTCCAGGAACTCCATCCTGATGAGTGTACAAAATAATAAATAAAGGGTTAAATCCGACTCACACGTCCTCGTCTTGCCTCCTGGATCATGGGACTGTTTCCATGTACTAACATGAGCGGTAATACGGGTGGTAGAGATCGGCTTAATCAACCACTCTACCAATACCCGAGAACGATTAAGAATGCTACATAGAGTGGTTGTATAACTATTGGATGGTCAAAAGAGTGGTAAAAAATGCGTCTGCCCAAATAAAAACAAAAAGACAAAAAATGGGTTATGAGTGTTATGTAATGGTTCTGTGTAAGCAGTGCGGAAACAGCTATCGCGCCCCGGCAGTTGTGTCGTACTTCCATGTAGCACTCTTCTAGAGAAGGGCCTACTAGGCTTCACCATTCTATATGGCTGAAAGGACAAATAAAGGGTTGAAATGTCCTTTCGACTAACAAAAATTATGCTGTGCTTTGAATGAAAATTGACCATATAGGGCTTTTTACTATTCATATTTGATATCAGTAGTTTACGTTATCTTGTGCCATTATTCTTGGGATGAATTTTCAAATGTTCTATGTTAACGGTAATAAAAAAACTATTTGATCATGAGAATTTAGAAAGATCTTTCCGGGCGAGTACGTATAAACATAATAAGCAGTTTGTAAGTATATAATTAACAAATATGAAAACACCAATTAGTCAATTCACTATATTTGACTTTTTAACGTCAATTAATTATAACATTTCGGTACCTCTCACTGCTGAGTCAATGAATAGATGGTTTGTGTACCAAGAATGAATCTTAATTCCCCTTGTAATGGTGGAGAGAAATACATCGATGAGTCTGAAACAGAAAGAATCATACATCCTGGATTCTGCTTCTGGTCATTATCAAATTTTACTTAGGAAACCTACTCATTCACTGACGCTCGTTACTATCATGAATTATAGAAAACCGATCAGGATTCTCCAACCATATCTATCCTGAACTCTCATTCCAAATTATTGCCAAGTGAATATTTTGCCTCCTAACTAGAATTTATAGCGCAATGTGTTCTTTGTTCTTTAAATTTTCCTTTTGACTTCAGGATTTCAAATTACGGCTTACTTTTGATGCTCATAGCTTATTGATGATATCGGATCAATGCCAAAAGAGATTGACCACTTGAAGTCATTAACACTGATAACAGAAAAACTCAAATCCTCATAGACTGTTCATGGCATATTCGAAAATTATTTTGTCTTGTTTGTTTACAACAGTAATCATAATTGAACACAGTGACTTCCATTTTATGGTCGAAAGCGTTAGTCAATTGAAGTTAGACCACCATGGGAATCCTGGAAGCACTGGACGTCTCGAGACTGGTTGGTCCTGGGTTCGAATCGCGCGAGTACGGGATCGTGGATGCGCACTGCCCAGGAGACCCATAATAGAACGAAACGGCCGTCCAGTGCCTCCAGGTTTTCCATGATGGTCTAGCTTCAATTAACTCATGTTTTCAGCTATGAAAATACTAAATCTCCACAAAACCACTTCCATTTACATTTTTTATAGTTTATTCATTCTCTTGTAATTTTTAACTTCTTTTTGCCAACTTAATTAAGGTGGAATCAAAATTGATGGGCTACTTTTACAGCCAATTACAACTGTGGAACGTTTACATAATATTCATGAGGTATTTAGTGTATTGAGACGTTTGAATGTAAAAATCAATAACATTCAACCTGAAGGTGAGTGATAATTTTATTAATATTCTGACTGCCTACTTATTTATCATAACAGTAGCATATTTTGGTAACTGGTTTCAAATATGTAGGAGATTATGACGTACGGTAATGGGATTAATAGCTAAATCATGACAAGGTCAACTACACTGGAAATAAAAAATGATCGCGGGTGTCCACAAAACTGTTTATTATCAAAGTGAAGTGATGTTTAAAATTTATGCATTACTGAATGTTGCTAGAGTGACAGGCAACAATCAAGGCCAGATTGATAACCGGTTCATATTTGCATTTAAATTACCATGTAACCATAATACGGTATACAATCTCAGGTATTCTGTACAAGGTATCACTATCACAGTTTGCATTCCATTCCCATCTCTGAGATCGTATATAAGCAAATAGAATAATAATATTTTAAGGTATTTCTTGAATTAGAATCCCTAGAGTGAACATCATCACCATACTTACTCAAGAATATGATATAAAGCTGTTATAACTTTTGACCCGCTGACATGTATCGTGTACCAAGTCAACAGTCAAAATCCTAATTTTAATTTAATCTATTTTGTGTCTGTTGTTGCTTTGACAGCCTATTCTCTTCAGATTGATCAAAATTACACGCTCGATCAGTACTACTGACCTTGAATAGACGCAATTAAATTCCTATTAGTCTGTTATTTGCAAACTCGGCTCTACGTTCAACCTTCAATTTGAGAGTCAGCAACTAACTTCTACGATATACTTACATTTTAAACAGACTTAGTTTATATACAGACATACTGGACTGCATCGTGCCATAAAATGAAAAATAAAAATTATTCATAAGCCTGCCAAAAGTGGCCATGATCAGGAGGGACTGTAAGCAATCCACTGACAATAAATTAAGGATAGTAAATCGTATAGCCATCCTTAATAAGTTGACTAAAAGCCTTTTAAAGGTGAAATATATATATACGTAGTGAACTAGTCACTCAGTAATTCAACAACAAAATTATGATTAATAATCATTCGAATGACCAGTTCCAGCTTTTACAATAGTCGTTCTGCTTTATAAAAACAAATAACGTATGATATAATGGCTATATCGAGACATTCTTCACAAAATGCTCATGAACTAACAATGACTGAGCAAGATTCATTTCTGAATATTGGCAATTGGATAAGCTAAGAACCTTACTAATAAATTTTATAGCTGTTAAGTCTATCGAGGCGTCCACATCACCCAATTGAGATACGCGCTAAATCGAAGTTCACCAAGCAACGATTTCTTTAAAAAAAGCGGTTGTTTATTGAATAACATACAAAAATTAGTTATAAACCTAAACTAGTGAGGTGTCTGTAGCTTTTACTGAGTCTTTTTGTCTGAAATAAAAAGGCTTCGATAGTGCAAAACGTCAGCTATTGATTGTCTCTAAACTTGAGAAAGGGTTTACCAATAGGTAAAAATCAAGCTAAGAGCAAGCAATATGAAAACTGTTGCGTTAAAAAGAAGAATAAAAGATTGCACAAAATGGCGAATAACTGCTACAATGATTCAGTTAGTTAGCTACAACGTAGGACTAGGCACACATATGCATCGGTGCAAGTTGTCATACCTCGTTAGCACAACAAATTGAACACCGGTATTATAGAAGTAGTTAATTTAGTGGTGGTAATATATAAAAGAAAGGTTGTATATAAGGATATATTAAAGGAAGAAAGATATATATGAAGCAATTTTAATCTCAAGGTTTAAGGGAAGATAAAAAGTGTACACAGCTGCGCCATTGTGCTCGATTCTGAGTCATGTCACACAGTCTCCAACCATTGGTTACAACAGTCACACGTATCCCAACCAAGTAGTCTGCATCTCCCAAGATGGCTCAGACTAGACGTTAGTGACTTCAAGCTACAGTGATTGATACAAAGTAATTTTAATGATAAATATAATTAATATTATATGTATATGTAAATATTTCAGAATATTACACGACAAACTTGCGTTACAACAGACACTTAGAAACTGTTAGGAATACAACTATTTACTGAATATTAATAAGTAGTATAAAAGAATACACAAAAGAGTCGAAGGCAAGTGAATTACTTCACAATAATCGTCATATTTGCTAAACAATTTACTAGTTATCTGGACTTAATAGCACATATTATATCCATTGACATCTGATTCGAGAGATGGTGAGTTCACTTATATGATAAACATATTTATTTATTTATAAGAACTTTCGTCTAAATTACAGCGAATAGTTTCACAGTATTTGGGCGCCGTGTTGATGTAAGACATTAAATAGTAATAATATATTTGTAAAATCACAGCGAATGAATTTGAAGTAAGTCCAACGTTTCGCCTGGCAGTCTAGTCCAAGCTTTTTTATCCTTGACTTCTCCCAGAATGTCTCCGATTGTACTTTTTTGTAACTTGTACAGCGAAAGTTCTTAAGCCTTTCATAAAGGCGCTTGAATAGGCTATGTGATTCATAAATTCAATTAGTATTGTTTCTTTGAATCTTCCCATCGATGTGTTAGGACTACAACTGGTCAGTCTCTAATTGGCATATGTGCATCCTGTGCGTATTGCTTCGATATAGCCTAAATTCAAAAGCATGGCAAGCAGAGACGGATAGTGGCTAGCAGTGGAATCCAGGACGCGCGCCACTTCGTCCTCTGAAGCGAGGGTACTGGGTTCGAGTCCCAGAGTGAACATGAACTCTGAGATGCAGATACATCCAGCTGACGAGTCCAAAATAGGACGAAACGCGCGTCCTTGATTCCCCTGCTAGCCACTATCCATCTCTGCTTACTATGTGATTAATGGATATAATGATGTGTTAAAACAAACAAACGAACAAAAAACAGATAACTTGTTGCAATATCCAGATATCAAGAACAGGTAGTCCAGATATTCAAACAGGCCACCACTGAATCATAAGCACATTCTATTGACGAAACCCAAAATTGGACGAAACCCGTGTCTTGGATTCCGCCGATTACCACTATAAATCTATTTTAATGAAACATACATCTTTCCTTGTGTTTCATACATACTTTACACATCATTTGCCATCTGTTACTGTTTCTTTTTATCCAATTACAGATATTATGGAAGGGGATAAAGACACAGTACTTGAATTATTGATTGCAATTAATGATTATTTTTTACCTAAACCCAATATGAAAACTACTAAAAAATTCAATCCAAATAATCATAACAGCAATTATTATGATATTGATTATAAAATGGAATCAAATGGTGTAAGAAGGTTTTTTATGTGAAGGTTTTTCTCATGTGCATATTTTCATTGTTAAACATAACTGATAGGAAGCTCTAATTGGTACTCATCAATTAAGCGTATCTATAGTCTTGAAGAAGATGAAATTGTTATAACCTGTGGCCGAGTGGATATCTAGTTAATGTATGACTTGATAGGACCGTAAATCAGATAGCAGCAAATTATCGATTGAAACGGTGACACACGAAAAACCGTACGAGCAGTTTAGAGCGCTAACCGGTCCTACGATATACCTAACCCAATCAGTTAATTCCAAAACACCAATAACAGCCTCTGTGATATGAATCATTATATTTCAAACATACTGAGTTTATATTACCAAACAGACTGACCATATCGTACCAATAAAATGGAAAATAACATTTGTACAAGAGTTAGTCAAATGTGACTGTGAATAAGGGGAGCAGTAATTAATAGACTGGGTATAACTCAGGAATGGTAAGTCGTACAATAATAGTCCAAGGGTCAACATAAAGCTCACAATGAAAGGAACATGAATATGAGTAGTTTAATTATTTAGCAAATATACGATAAAAATTATATGCATAATATTGATCCATAAACGAATCCCAAAGTTACCATTCACTATTGTTATCGGGATATAACAGTGACTTTCACTGAATAGTAGTTAATGTTAAGTGATTGAAATAACAGAACATCCAAAACCTATCGTACATGGTCATTCAAAGACTATTGGGTGCATTTAACTCAGTTGATGGTAGTTAGGTCCTAATGTCTTTCAACTCTACTACTGATATATGGGTCTCCTAAACACGTGTTATATCTGTTATTTGATTGAGAAAACTAACAATATATAGGAAGCGTTTATTGGCTACTCAATCATAAGTGTACATCTGTGGTATATGCTATTTATTCTGACAAATATAAGTGTGGTGTGTACTACTAATGTCGATAGATATAATTAGTATGTGTCACCAATCAAAAGTGGAATGCCTGGTGGTAGAAGGTTAAGAAGATCGAAGAAAAGTGAACGAAAATAGAGAGTGATTGGTGTGGAAATTAAGGAACGATAAAGTCTGAAACAATTGATGCATATTTTGCAAATGAATTATTCACTGTATGGTTCACAAATTTTAGTAAAAGATTCGGTTATTCTGTGTACGTTTAGTACGTTCAGTTGTCCCGCACTTGTGTTCTCATCTACTACATAAGTAGTATGTATTACTGATCGGAACTAGAATGCCTATGAGAAGAAGATTGAGAACACTGAAATAGATAGAAGTAAGAACAAGCAATAACAATGACAATAGGAATTAAAAAACAGTGAATTTTGTAAGAGATAACTGATGGAAAATGTGCAAATGATGAATTTAATGTATGGCCTTCGTATTTTACGAGATTACTCTGTAATTTTCCACTCATTAATAACTTGGTGATCCTCATAAAGTTTCGTTCACTGCACATCTCTCTCTCTCAGATCTTCAACCAGAGTATCTCTCTTTCTTTAGGAATATTAGGCCAAACATAAACCACTCGAGTGCACCTGTCAAGAACTTTTACTTATTATTTGTCTTATTCCTGGTTGGTCTAGACTATCCTAATGATTCAAACGTAAATAGGAATTAGACGAATATGACACAATTAGACAAAAGTGTCTATATTCACATGGTTATTAAGCTAGTTAAAACATTCTGAAGATATTCAATGAGTTGTCCCCTAAGTGTTGTTAAAAGACCAAGACGACTTCAACGTCTCTAGAATGTACTCCAAATCTAGTTGCATAATTTATTTGGTTGTATTGTTTTTACCTCATTTCCTCAATAAATTTTTTTCACAAACTACATTTGAATAACATCTTATGTAGAAAGTTAGTTTATAAATTGATGATTTTGGAGAATGTGAATTATCCCGCGTATATGATCGTAGATGCTCTCTGCTAAGGAGTCTTATACCAGGACGAAACATCCGTCCAGTGCTTCTAGGTTTTCAATAGTGGTCTAACATTGATTGGTTCATGATTTCAATCACAACATGAATTATTGAAATGAAATACTGTTTGGTGTTTTAAACCTTTTACAAATATTCTGTAAGTTATGCTAACTAGCGTTTTGAATGCTGGTGAGCGGCCTATGCTCCTCGACGAGGGGTAACAGGTATAAGTAAGTATGCTACCTAGCTAGATTCGGAATCAAAGTCGATATTTTATAAAAAGATTTCACCAATTCGACAAGGTGTTGGGATCAGTTCCATTATGAATAAATAGGCGATGAAAAACTACAGAAAACCAAAGTCAACGAATACAGATAAGTGAAAATAAAGTGATATAAACATGAATTTCTAATAATGATCACATGAATAGCTCAGTGTTAATTTCTCAGTATGTGATGTTAAGTGACTTGAGTTCGAATTCCGAAGGCAAGATCAAGTTTGTCCGAAACAGTGAGTACACATAATCTATAAGTTCTAATAAGTATAAAATCTAGGCAAAATAAGGTTTCTTATCGATTATCTCCAATCACAAACCATGTTCTAGTACGGGACGTTTCAGAAGGATACATCCATGACCTCATCATCACGGGTCGAACTGAAGACCTTCAATCTCGTATAAACACTCAATCCTAAGAGTACCGAGTCAGTGTACAATGGTGTACATGTTTAAATCTAATCATTTGCGAAATTATCAAACCGTCTTCCATTGTCTTCGACAGGTAACTACATAGTACTTCATTTTCTAACTAGTGACTGATTTAGAGCAAGTGATTTGTGGAATACTAGTGAGAAGCTATGAATAGTGGTATTCAACCACGTTGGACACGAGACAGTTATTCACCGCAAGAGATAGATGAAAGTTGAACAATATCTTGATTGAAGTTAGACACTATTGTGACTGAATGTCAATTTAGCGGTCTAGAGACTGAGCGTTCGTGTACAAAATCGAACGTTCTAGGTCTTTTCTGTGGTGGAAGGTCCGTGAATTTTCAATGCTGAGGAGTCCCGTACTACGCCGAAACAGCTTCTAAATGTTTCTTGATTTTCAATGGGTGTCCAACTTAGTTAGGCATTTGCCTTGTGACTTGATTGACAGAATAAGATTGACACTATAAGGGTGAGACAAAAATGACATCAGATATGTTTCAAACGAAGCTAACACTATTTTAGCACAAGTAGGTGGAATTAATAGGTCATATAAAGGGTAGGTTTATCAATGACAGTAAGAAAAGATATAAACGAAAAAATAAAAAAATGGAGTCCCATAATACAAAATATGTGGTAATATTAAAATTCAAGGTCTCTTTAAGAAAATTCAGGATGATTACATCTGTGTCAGCAATGTTATCCCTGGTACGGTCATGGATATACGTTTTTTGGATGTCTGATACTATGACAAAGTAGCTTACCGGTACTTCTGTGTTTTTAATGGTTGCCAAGTTTAGTCCAGTCTATGGTGCCATCTGCTAAACTAAACACTCATCATTTATTATAATAAGCTTACTCATTTTATATTCGTTTTAATCAATAACGTCTACTATTGGAGTTTATTGATATGCTCTCATAAATTGTTTACAATATACAACACAACACATATACTGTGGTGTGTGCTACTTATGTCATCATAAGTAATATATAACGCTAGTCAGGAAAAGAATGTCTAGCAGCAGAAGGTTGAGAAGATTGATGAGGAAAGAACAGGAACAGAAGACAATTGGTATGGAAATGCAGGAGAATTGAAGTCTGAGACAATTAATGAACATTTTGCAAGTGAAGTATTCATCACATGGTTCTGAGATTTTACTGAAACGTTCTGTAATTTTATATCCTGATTTGTGTTCTCGTTCACTACACCATTCGTAGCGGTTAATATTGTTTTCCTCCTTCTCCTCCTACTCTGTAGAAGTGTAGAACTTGTGTATTATATATATTCTTGTCTGAGAAGAGGTGTCATTTGAACATGAGACATCATAGACACTTACAAGTGAATATAAAAGGCAGTTGATCACAGTTTTAAAACAATCCCATTAATTTTTTTTTATTTGTACCATTTTGACAGCGTTCATCAGCATGGAGTACTTTAAGTAGTTCAACTAGAAGAACACCAATAAATCGATCAGAAACAGCACCACATTTAAATGGTAATCATGAAAATGGACTATTATCAATAAATAATCATCATTTACAAAAAAATCTTTTACAACATTCGACAAATGGTATAGATTATCCTATAATTGATTTACCATGGTCAAATTCTATAGATCATTTTACAGATAATACTAATAATCGACAACTTTATGCATCTTCTCATCATTCATTAGCACCAACACCAACTCCATCAGAATTAACTAATTCTACAAGTCCACGATCAAAAAGTACAGTATATAGAGTTCGTTCAGATCCATTATCACCTAGATCTATACATGGTAGAAGGTAAGAGATAAGATTTTGTTGTTTATAAAATACAACAAGATTTTTGATTATCATATTATGGGGTTGTGGACATTATCGAGTTACATTGAAGTTGCGATCCGATCAAAGTTGTACAGCTGTTAGAAACCTTGAATCACTGGACAGCTATTTTGTCCTATCGTGAAGTTCCTCAACAGTGCATATCCACGACTCTGCATGAGGAAATCAAACTTGAAGGGCCTGTGTCTGACTCCCTATGGCAGGATCGTGGATATATACTGTTGGGAAGCTCCATACTTGGATGAAACAGCTACCTACTGCTTCCAGGTTTTCAACAGTTGTTCAACTTTTATCGAAATGTAATTTCAATGAAAATCGTTGCTATTGAAAAGATAAATATCGAACGTTAACAACATGAGCGATTTCAGTATTTTCATTGTTAAAAGCACGAGTCCATTAAAGCTAGACCACCATGGAATACCTGGAAGCACTGGACGGCCGTTTCGTCCTATTGTGGGACTTCTAAGCAGTGAGCATCCACGACCTCGCCTCGCGGGACTCGAACCCAGGACCTACCAGTCTCGCGCCAGAGCACTTAATCGATAGGCCACTGAGCCGATATCCGTGGTGTTAATGTCTAACTTCAACCAATACACGAAGTTGAGCAACCAGTTCACTAATTGTCTTCAGCGAGTTCCTATCTCACAACAGACGTGGTTGAACTCTAATGGTCACTGTTTCCCACGAAACGGCCTAGCTTCAATTGACTCATGCTTACAACACTGAAAAATCATGAAAATAGTCTATACGTTATAAAAAATTATTCAGTTATTGATCAGAATAAATATAGGTAACATGGAGTGAAAGAGAAATAAAAAGAAAACTCCGAATTAAGATAAGTGTCTGGTCAATATTTACGCAATATTTAGAAATAATGGACAGGGGGGAAGTTAATGGAGTTTCCTAAATGTTTACAAGCGTCACAATAATTAAAGTAAATCTGTATGTACATTTATCGAATTATGTCATTATCATATCATCTTCATAACTTCAGCCACAGTATTTCTCTGCATGTATCACATCTAAATTGTATGCGTATAAACAGAGACGTTTTGCTTACACTTAAGATTTCTTTTTTTGTTCTGTTTTCTAGGTCAAGTATATATTTATAAGTTTCTCAGAGTATCCATTTCCTTTAGGAGTATTATTCATTGTATTTCCCCGACCGTTGCTGGCACCTTGACGTTGTGGTCAGGCTTGCCTATCGTGATGAAGCAATCGAGCTATACTGGCTGGAACAATCGTTCCTCAAGGTCCTACCATGCCAGACAGGTCGGTCGAAGAGCGGTAAGACTAAAAGCAGCAAACCCAAGATCCGAAGGCGAAGTCGTACTGTTGACTGTACAGAGGTGTGACAGCAGCAAGGTGTTTCCTTCAGACAACCAGCATAACAGCGATTCCCCCTTCCCACAAGGGAAGGTAGGGTTAGAGAAGGTCGACCTTAAAAATGCACACCTCACCTTATCCCACGAATATCCGTCTCCGGCGGTAAGGTCCTCTGAAGAACGAAGATAGCACGTCAAAAATCCCCCACAAAAAGGCCATGAGTGATCGACCTCAAGCAGTTGCCCCTTGGGCACTGCGGTCACACTCCCAGGTCGTTAAAACCAACACTAACCCAGCTTTCTTTTCATGTCCCTCAAGACTGACTCAATGTATTTGCTTCTTCTACAACTGTATCTAGGTAGTTTACAGTTTATATTCTATATCAGAGTGTCTGAAACAAGGTTTCTTTTAGCTTATATTGGAACAAACTTAAGCAAACCTATATATGAAATTCACTTGGTATTGTTTTACTTGAATCTTACCGTTGATGTTTAGGATTGTAATTGATCAGTCGCTTGTTGGCATACGTGCATACTGTGCGTAATGTCTCGATATTACCTTAATACACAAGCATTATAAGCAAAGATAGACAGTGGTTAGCAATAGAATCCAGGACGCGCATTCCGTTCTATATGAGACTCGTCAGCTGAATGTACCTGCATCGCAGAGTTGATGTTCACTCAGGGACTCGAACCCAGTGCCGTTCACTTCAAATGCCATCACTTTATCCACGTAGCCACTGAGTCCTGATAACCATTGGTTTGTGAAATGGAGTGCATTTTAAATTTACTTGGTATTGTTTGCTCGAATCTTCCCATCGATAAGTGAACATCAACTCTGAGATGCAGGTACATTCAACTGACGAGTTCCAAATAGGATGAAAAGCGTGTCCTGGATTCCGCTGCTAACTACAATATATCTTTGCTTATAAACTTATGTGTTGTCTAGTTCAAGTACTTTCCGTATTTCAGTTCCTTCTGTTTCGTAACTATAAGTATCGATGTATTCTTTAAGATTTTAAATTACAATCAGTTTTTTGTCATATTACTATATTTACGGCAAGGTTACGTTGTCCAGCCTTGACAGTTTCGTACAAAATGATGTTCAGTGGATCTAAACTATTATATTTTTCAGAAGAGGTTTATTGAAGATCTTAGTAATTATATAGTTGAATTCATGAATCCACTGAAGCTAGACCACCATGGTAAACCTGGAAGCATTGGACGACCGTTTCGTCCTACTGGTGGATTACTCAGCAGTGCGCATGCATGATCCCGCCTCACGACATTCAAACCCAGGAGCTATCAGTCTCACAAGACAGGAGTGTGAATGCGCGCTGCTGAGGAGTCCCAAAATAAGATGAAACGGCCATCCAGTGCTTCCAGGTTTTCCATGGTGGTCCAGCTTCAATTGACTCATGAATTCAACTATTAAACTATCATATTTATTTATTATTGAAAATTTAAACACCAGAAACTAGTTAATAGTAATAATCAGTTAATAACTGATTGTTCATTGAATAACGTGGTGACCACTGATTATTATATCTTCATTTACATTGATTTGTCAACACTCAATGACTAACTTATGTTAATATCTCAGTTCTATAGAAAATCGGTCGCTGTTCGAATGACTCATCTTAAGGCATAATTTAGTTCATACGAGATTTCAGTTAACTGGTAACCTGTCGGAAACCGTTAGGCAATGAAATACCGCCCTGTATTAGTATAGGACTTCATAGGAGTATCCAATCTTGGACCGGTCATGGAATGAACTTATGACCTTTAGATGTTTTGCAAATAGCTTGTTTTTTTAGACTATTAAGTTTAAACCTATATATTTCTAATTTAAATTATCGGGATATTGAACGATGATTATCTAATATCATTCTTCATGATGATTTCGCTCCTAATGTAACCTTAACCTAATCCCTAGTCTTTAATGAGTATCATAAAAACTCATTTTCCTAGAAGTCCTTTTTCTAACTTACTGGTCAACGATAATGAAAGTGCCATCAATGTAACTTAGTTAGGAAAGAGTCAAGAGGTGAGATATCATCCGTTTCCCATTTAAATTCATATATTCCAGTATTGGGTTGCGGAGATTTCTCTAGAGGTTTAGAGGTTAAGCGTTCGCCCATGAGACTGATGATTCCGGGTTAAATCCATGCTTGTGGATTCGTGGTTGAGTACTACTGAGAAGTCCCATATTAAGACAAGATGGGCGTCCAGTGCTTCCAGGTTTTCAATGGTGGTCTAATATTGATCAGTTCATGGTTTCGATGACACTCATATATTTCACCTTGGAAATTAAACCAAAGATGTCTTTAACGCTTCTTTTAGTGAATAACTTGAGTAGAGGGTTCGGGATTCAAACTAGCCATATTGTAATTTTATAATAATGATAATTATACCTATCTAAAATTGGACGAAGGGGAAGTTCTGACTTGTAAGCTTGGAGTAAACCATAGAGTTTTGATGTATTTGACGCCGTAAATAATCCAATAAACAGACGAAGTTTACCCATGTCTATGCTTAACCAAAAATTCAAACAGCGTTTAGAAGACTGTATCACATCCTATTTTGTTTATAAGTTTACATGTGTATATATGAATATATGTATGTGTGTGGACACTCATAGAGGAGAATAAGCACGTGATAAGAAATCATTTTCGTCTATCGTTATATATTTAATTGAAATAGATCATAAGACTGATTTCAGATCAACCATTGTAGTGTTCTATATAAGTATCCTAGTATGATGACCATAGTTTGTTAATGCTTTAGTCAGGAAGGGAGTCAAACCTCTTTTATCTGTTTAAAAATAATTTATAATTTCTTTGAATCGACTTTGATTTGTGATTTAATGCCCAGATATATATGTGTTCTACTTTTTCTTTAATATCTTCGTAGTTTCTATGTTACCCCATTTAACTAGTTCCACATCCACATTTTTCATATCTGTAAATCAAGAAGTTAGTATCTGATCTATTATTGTGAAATGTTATGGTTTAAATCACTAACTGGCCTTTGTTAATCAACCTTTGAAAGCCAAGAAGTATTGAATAACTCTTTTGTTCTAGTATGAGATTCTTAAATTGTGTGTATTCATGACCCCAACTCTGACCATACCCTGGATAATGAGGTTTCTCAAGAAGCACACTTACCTTTTTTTCATTATCTAAATACTACTATTACTACTACTAACAATAATAATGCACTGATTACTACAACAATCTAATACTTGTCGGTAGAAAAACGGGTTGAATGAAAACATTAATAAGCCAAGACAAACTAAACTTCCTCCATCTTGAGTAACTCAGATGATGTTAGTTTTCATCATATAATCACTTTCACTTTAGTATAAAAGAATTTCATTCGATGATATTGTTACTAGGTAGAATGTTAACCAAATGTGAAAACCATCAGCGAAATGGATCATTATATCAGAAATCGACTTGAATATTTCTTACTCAGATTTAAGGTACAATTTTTGGTTAAAGACTGACGATACTATATGTCTGCTCAAAAAAGTATGTGTTAAAGGTTTTAAACCTAAGATTTATCTGTTAATAAGTGAATACTTCACTCATTGAACCATCCCCATTCTCATTTATTAAACACAAATTCACTTGT